AGACACACACACACACAGAGACACACACACAAACACACACACACACACAGAGACACACACACACAGAGACACACACACACACAGACAGACACACACACACACAGAAACAGAGCGACACAGCTAATGACCCTTGCACGCAGCTTCTTGCCTGCAGCTTCCTGGTTGAAATGCACTCGTAGTCAATATTGATGCGGCAATGCCTGCTCCAACCCTTCGTCCATCACTATGTTGCGTCGAGAATGACGGCAATGAGGTTGGCTTTGATGTTGAAGTCTTAGACGGTCGCAGAGTATGCTCATGTTCGTGTCTGACTTGCAACAGGTGGTGGATGGGGATGGGCCGGAGCTCGACAATGTCCAGCGGCTCCACACGCAAGACTCCCTGCAAGCTGCTCGAGCACATCAGGCGGGAAGTTGGTAGAGTTTCTGCACAGTCTCCAGCCTTTTGACTTGGCCAGGAAAAGGCGCTGTTGATGATCAGTGAGGTCTTACGACAGATCCAAGAGGGTGGAAGCCGTTTTCAGGCAGGGGCTCTCGGGTTGCGAGGATGCAGCCGGTCAGATATCTGCCGCTGTTCGGGCCTGGAGTGACTGGAGTTGCCCGACTCGATCTGACACTTTTTTCTGATATCTTCTGACTCCATAACAAAAGCTTGGACTGGGCTTCCTTGTAACCGGTTCACAAGCCTTCCTCTCCTGACAATCTCATGAGGTCATGGCCAATTGTTAAGATGTTCGAACCTTCCACTTCATCTGCTTTGACAGCGAGTGGCAAAAACAAAGTTGCAGGGACGGGATCCCCTTTTGGCTCTTACTTCCTCTCTCTCTCTCGCTCTCCCTCTCTCTCTCTCTCTCTCTGTGCTGCTGCTACCTGGTACACGGACTGCTGTTGTGCAACAAACTCAGGATTTCTTGAGCACAGGCGTAATTCGGCCTCACACGCTGCATGGACACCAGGCTTTGCAAGGCATGAATTTGCCCTACTCAGAGTCAGAGCTGGGTCACTGCTTCTGAGCACGTTGGTGTTCCTGTGCATGCAGCACATGAGCTGTCCTAGCAAGCAAACTACTACCGGAGGTAAGGCATGTGATAAGGCAAGGCATGTGAAGGCTCGTCGGTGGCAATTCAAGGGAAAGAACAGGATCGAGTGACGAGGCAGTTCATCTTAGCTCTGCGGCCAGTCTAGTGCTTGCAATTTTTTTACATGTGCTGGACTTAACAATCCACAAACTCCTGCAAGGGCTGGGGTGGAGTTTCCTGACATGTTTGTCATGTCGTGAATTCACCCATGTGTCCACTACCTCGGTCCTGCCTAGCTTCTTATGTTTATGAGAATTGGAGTTTGGAGTTGGTCTTTTCTGTGTTCTTTTCGGCCCTCGTCAGGGCTCGGAGCACCGCGACGAGGAGTCCTATGCTGCGTGCGAAGAAGACCTGTCGAGCCGGGACGTGTCAGAAGTGGCGGCTCGTTCAACGACAGCAGTTGACTTGAGCCTCTTGGGAGCTTTGGGTTTGGGGCTCCAGGCCCGTCCGCTTTGGAGCATGCGCGTAGGCATGGTAGGGGATGCCGAGCCCAACATGTGAGCATCAAGACGCCTCGCCATGAAAGCTTATCGTGCCCAGGTGAACCATCCTTTGCCACCAACTGCTCCTTGGCACGACCTTTTCAAGCTTGTTGGCAAGATTTTGTTCTTTGTTTCTGTTCGCGCACAAGCTGGCTTTGTTTATTCCTCAGCTTGAGCAGGCTCTGCTCCGCAAACCCTGGGATCCTTAGGATGTCTGTTTCAGCCCTTAATCTGAATCGCAACGGATGCCCGCAATGCATGAAAGCTAGATTCAGCCATATGATTCATTGCTGTTGAATCTCAATTCAGAGCATGATGAAAGCATGACAGCTGCCGTCGCACTTCATCCATTTCCAAGTCAGCCTTGCGTTCAGGTGGGCCACAGGTCGCATAAGCGCAAGACGACTCATCAGCCAAAATACCGAGCATTGCTGGAAGAGATGCGCACGGAGCTGCTGCCCACGCTTCAGCTGAACCAGGGCATGAAGGTCTGTGTTGTCTCGAGCTGTCGGCGGCTGGTTTCTTCTACTTGGTTCGACTACCTTTTTGGTTTCATCATCGCTGCCAACTCAATATGTATTGGTATCGAAGCACAAGCATCTATTGATTCTGCCGACATTTGGATCGGGTGGCGTTGGCTGGACATCATCTTTGTGATCATCTATATCATCGAGATTTCGATCCGGCTCATCGCTGTGGGGTGTGCTAAAAGCTTTCACAGTGGCTGGTTTGTTTTTGATTTTATCTTAGTCGTTCTGGGCACGCTCAGTGCCATCGCAACCCCCCTCGCCTCTTATGCTTTCCTGGAGTCCGTCATGGTTGTCCGAGCACTTCGGTTGCTTCGACTCATACGAACGCTGCGAATGTTGCGCTATTTCCGTACTGTCTGGCGCCTTGTTTTTGGTCTGTTGACTTCCATCAACACCATCGCATCGACGCTGTGCCTCATTGTCCTCGTACTGTACATTTTCGCCTGCCTGGGCATTGAGCTCATCACAAACGACGATAATCTCAAAAGGGTAAGCACGGAGGTGGAAGAAGTCGTGAACCAGTACTTCCGGTCACTGCCCATCACAATGCTTACGCTCGCACAGTTTGTAACGCTGGATTCCATTGCCACGGTCTATTCTCCGTTGGTCGTCGAGCAGCCTTGGCTGGTGACGTACTTCGGGGCCATCGTCCTCATATTGTCAATTGCGCTCATGAACCTGGTACATCAGAGGATACAGTGTAAGTTCAGGCCTGTAGGCCTGGTGTCGGCTTTGCACCCCAAGCCCCGCTACTTTGGGAAGTTTGGGTTCCTCAGCCCCTCCCGCCGCCACCCCCTGACAATTGTGGCGTGATTTTCTCTGAGGTAACTGCAGTTCTTGTCGAAGGTGCACTCGAAAGTGCACAGCACGATCGCGAGGCTGCTAAGCACGACTTACACGAGAAGCTGGTCGAATGTGAACCTCGGCAGACAAACGAACAGTATGCCGTTTTTGCAAAATTTGGCGCCGATGGTACCTGTCGTGCTCCATCTTTGTGCTTTGGGTTCTGTGCGACCTTTGCTTTGCTTAGGTCCCTCGCTTGAGGTCGATTTTCATCAGCCTGGACAGAAACGGTGACGGAACCGTTTCACGGGAAGAAATTCAGCAAGTCCCACTCGACGTGCTCCCAGAACGGCTCTTCGAGCATTCCCATGTCGCCAGCATGCAGGCTGGCTCTCACTTGCTCACGGTATGCATGCATGCAGGATTCCGTGGAGGTTATGGCGGGCCCATGACAGCAGCAGTTCTTGCGAGTCTGGTCTTGCAACCTCTGTGCGCCAGGAGCTTTTCGAGATTCTTGATGTGGATGACGGAGGACTGCTGTCTTTTCACCCTGCTCAGAAGATCATCTGAACATCTAGGGGCCCTACACAGGGGAAGTGCCTGGAACAGGCGGCCAGAGTGGGGAGCCGCGCAGCCATCGATATTTCCAATCCATGGTGGTCAACGGGGTGTGATTCAGTGGCTTTGATACTGACAGCATGATTCATAATTCATCAATCTTGCGGCTGCTACTATGTTACTATGTACCACGTACTGTGAGTACTTAACGACTTGTTGAGTTTGGCAGGCTTGGGTGCAGGCTCTTCATTACCAAGGATCGTTCGTTGGGTCAAACTGTTCCGTGCCAGAACCAAACTGGCAGGATTGAAAGTTTAAGTTTCGCTGGTGGGCCCAGCTCGCGGGGTGGTGAGGTGGTTTGTCCACTTGTCGCCCGGAGTGGTCGGGTGCTATCCTGGGAGTGACAGGGGATGCATGCTATCGTGAGTGGTGTGCGCGTAGGCTGGCAGTTTGGGCTTTTGAAAATTGTGTGAAATCAAGCGTTTCTGGTTTTTTCAATAGAGAACTTGTCAACAAAATCAAGCGGAGAGTTGAATCAACATGTTTCGAGGATATCACGCAACAGATGCAATATGTGTACTATAAAATCAATCGAGAGATCATGCATAAATCAATAGAGCGTCGACTGTAAAATCAATAGAAAATCGAGTGTAAATTCAATCGAGAATCAGTGGTGAAAACGGTCCTTCCGTATTACACGTACGTTCACACACACACATACATACATAC